ACAGCCAGGGCTAAGGGATCAGTAGGATAATAGAGCTATCAACAGAATAAGCTGGACAATTGCAAGCAAGACAGCGGGGAGACTACTTCCAGCAGCATAGTGGACAGGACACTCTAAATTGCACCTGCAATAACAGCATCTAAAACACAAGATAAGCCCAGGTGGTACACGCCTGGAATCCCAGTGCTTTGGGAGGCTAAGGCAAGAGGATCTCAAGTGAGGCCAACCTTAGCAACTTAGCAAGATCCTGTCTCAAAAAAAAAAAAAAAAAAAAGAATCTGGGGAGAAGTTTGCTGGTAAGCGCTACTCAGAGCCAAAAAATAAATAAAAGACAGGGACTGGGGTTGTAGCTCAGTAGTAGACTGCTTGCCTCTCATGTGGAGGGCTCTAGGTTAGAGCCTCAGCACCACATAAAAAATAAAATAAAGGCATTGTGTCCATCTACAACTAAAAAAACCCCACATAAATAAATAAAAGACAATAAAAAACATAAGAAAGATATTTTTAAAAGCATTACCAAGTTGACACAATAATAAACAACTAGGGTTGTGGCTCAGTGGTAGAGTGCTCACCTAGCATGTGTGAGGCGCTGGGGTCCTCAGCACCACATAAACATAAATAAATATATAAAGGTATTGTGTCCATCTACAACTAAAATATTAATATTTTTTAAAAAATAATAAAGCAGATACTCTGACCACTGAAGGAACACCAAAGCTGGCTCTGCCCTGAGGCCTCTGCCCACGTGGACACTCGCACTCCAAAAGCTGGAGTGAACATTTGATGCACAAGTTGGCACAGACATCTGCTTTCATTTCACTCCAGCAGATGTTTAGGAGGAGAATTTCTGGGTTATATAACTGATTAAATCTAGGGAAACAGCCAAGCTGTTTTGTAGATCATGGAGTCTTACCTTCCTAGCAGCGATGTCCAAGAGTTCCCACTCTCTCCTTCCTCACCAGCACTTGCTATGATCAGTCTTTTAACGTCAGACATCCTAGTGTTTTGTGCTTTCCCAAAGGCAAGGGATGATGTTGAATACCTTCCCATGCGCTTGACACTCACATATCCTCTTTAGTCAAGGGACTGTTGAATATCTCGTCCATCTCTTTTTAAAATCAGGATGTGTATTTTCTGGTAGAATTTTAAGAGTTCCTTATATATTATGGATAATATCCTTCATCAAGTATAAGATTTGTAAGTACAGGAGGAACTCTCTTGTCTTTTTATTTTTATTTATTTATTTTTTAAAGATTTATTTAATTTTTTTAGCTGTAGTTGGACACAATACCTTTATTCATTCATTTATTTTTATGGGTGCAGAGGATTGAACCTGGGGCCCCACACATGCCAGGTAAGCTTTCTACTGCTGAGCCACAATCCCAGCCCCTGTCTTGTCTTTTTACAATAAATATTAAAAAGCACTTTATGTGAACTAAACAGCCAAATGGACATGGCTGAGGACAAAGGTAATCACCTTTGATATATTTACAAATATCCTGAATACAATACAAAATGAAAATATTAAAAAGAAATTCAGAGAAATTAAAAGAAATCTGTACCTAGTTTTGCTCCAAGTGGAGGATTATTTGATCCTAATTTAATTAGTTCCCCAAACCAAGAAGATAGGACTCCAGGAGCACAGACAACAACCAGGCTGGAAGCAACAGGGTAGGATGAGCTGTGCCCTAGTACATCTGAGACAACCCTTGGCCAGAAGTGAAACTGGATTAGCAGTTCAGTCATATCACAGATGGTCATGGCCACAGAAAACTGGCAACACCTCTGTAAAGGTGAATAAAATGGAGAGCACTGAGGTAAGGCAGACTGAGTAAAAGACAGCAGGCAAAGCCCTAGATCTCCTCCCCTTCTAGACTTCCTACCCTGGCAGAAGTCTATAAGTTTTTTTCTAGACAATTAAAATGTTATCTGACAGGTATGGCTAAGTCCTGGATACCATAATGTAAAAGGGTGTTTGAGTGACTATAATAACAAAAGCTTCCAAAAATAATCAGACATTTATGGTCAATTGATTTGACAAAGGTGTTAAGAAAATTCAGTGAGATAAAGAACAGTCTTTTCACCAAATGGTGCTGGAATAATGAGATATTTACATGCAAAAGAATGAATACAGATCCCTACCTCATACCATACACAAAAGTTAACTCAAAACAGATGACAGAAATGCAAGAGATAAAACTACAAAACTCTCTTAGAAGAAAACATGGAAGGCAAGATTAACTGGTCCTGGGAACTTGCATAGTATATAGGAATAAAGCAGAAACCAATTTATTTTAAGCTAGATTGGTTAAGAAAACAGGACAGTATTTCCAGGATACTAAGCAGAATGTGTTTTCTCCTTTGTTGATTGGGCTATGTCCTTTTGCTATAGTACATCATCCTATGAGTCCTCCTAGCAAATTGGAATTTGGGGGTATTCTTGGGAACCCCAATACAGGAACATACAATGAGAATAAAGCAGTGTGCCTTTATAAGGAAAAAAAAAAAAAAAGCCGCCACACAGATTAGCCTGACTTTGTTGACCTGCAATTTTCAGAGACTAGAACTTCCCAGCCTCTTGCCTCAGCAGCTGCTAATGGCCATGAATCATACTAACTCAGCATCCTGCCTTTTGCTTCCAACCCACCCTTTCCTCATAGCTGCCACTTGATCTGCTCTGAGTTGCCTCAGCCCCAAGTGCTGAAGCAATTCAGTAGTACCATTATTCTATACCAAGGATATAGGATGGATACACACACACACACACACACACACTCACACACCAAAAAAAAAAAAAAACTTTTTTGGGAAAGATGTTTTTAACATAGTATTAATTTAAAAATGCATGTAAAAGTGCTTTGTAGACAAGGAAGTATTTTACAAGGGAATGTGTTACTAGGCTTAAAAGGCAGGTGTGTGTGCTATAAAAGACAGCAACATCTTTGATGTGATGCTTCCAGCACGAGGTTATTCCTCTAGACCAGGTCTCATATCTTCCTCTATTATAAACTCACATAAAGTGTATATACATATTTCAATTTTTGATTTCAGGTTTCAGTTTTGTTGCTCTTAAAATGTATACATTATTTCCAAATTAACAAATCAATTTCATCAAGTGAGAAAAGATCATAGACCCATCACATCAAAATCGGCCTTCGTATTTTATTGTACCACTGGAATCCTTTCCTTCTGAGTCCCCTCCATGTATCATATAAACACAGTCACTCCACCTTAACACACTGCCTACCCAATGTATTTTGTCACCATCTCAAATTCAGGTCATGATAAATTTTGAGACTCAAAAAGATCTTCAAACCTCTGCTAGACAAGTAAATTTTGAATGCTTACAATAGTGTGTACCTGTGATCTGGAGGTTCCTAAACCTGGTAGGACAACACAGTCACATGGGAGTGTTCTAGACTCCATCCAATTTACTGAAACATAATTTCCATCAATGCCTCTACTCTTTAAGACTCCTAAAGTAGAGAAGGTTGGCAGACTGCTACAGGGCTGTAGAGCTGGGCTGCACAAATAAGTCAGATGGCAGGAGTAAGAGGAGGACTTGTGCAATGATTTTTATATTCTGGAATGTAAGAAAGGAGAATCCACCACAATCTTGATATCAAGGATGTTTCTTCCTTGACCAAAAAAGGACTATGACATTGAAACCAAAAAGAAATTAAAATATAATCTAGTATAACACATGGCTCTGCAGTACATATCTGCAAAATGTATAATAACAAAACTACTAAACAACTTGTAAAAGTTATTACTAAAATTTCCTACTTGCTCTTTCCTTCAATGCACATCCTTAAAAAGGCTCTCCTTTCTTGTTCTTTTTTTCTTTGCTTGTTCTTGTATAGTACTGGGAATTGAACCCAGGGGTGGGCTATGCCCCCACCACTTTTTATTTTTTTTATTTTGAGACAGGGTCTCATTAAGTTGCATAAGATGACCAGGAATTTAAGATCCTCTTTGCCTCAGTCTTCCGAGTAGCTAGGGTTACAGGCAAGCACCACCAAGCCTGGGTAACTCTCCATTTTCTTCCTCACCAATAACCAACATTTACCCTGCTCATCACCTCTGCACCAGAGTGACAAAGGAAGACACCTCTCTCTGAGCCAGCTGTTCAGAAGACTTCACTCACTACCCATCTTGTCAACATTGAAGACATGAAGTAAGAATGCCACTTGACAACTAATTCAGAAACCCCTCTGCTCCTCTATAGACATCAGGCACATGTCTACTGCTCTAGGATGGGGAGTGGGTAGCATGTGGAAGGAAGACAGAGGGTTCTGCTCTGGTGGAGACTCTGTCTGCATTATGAATCACAGTGTAGACAGGCAAAAATCACTTAGGGACTGCTTCTTTATAATTTCATAAAATATTTTTAAATCCTTAATGGAAATGAGAATTTCTATTCCCTCAAATAATTCTTTAAAAATAAATTATAGGGACTGGGGTTGTGGCTCAGAGGCAGAGCACTTGCCTAGCACACGTAAGGCACTGAGTTCGATCCTCAATACCACATAAAAATGAAATAAAGATATTGTGTCCACCTACAACTAAAAAATAAATATTAAAAATAAAATAAAATAATAAAAATCAATTACAACCTAAATTCGTTAGTTGCTGGGGTTAGGAATACAGTCAGTGGTAGACAGCTTGTCTAGACATGTGAGGCCCTGAGTTTCATCCCAGCACCCTCCAAAAGGAAAAAAAAATCCATTAGATTCTATAATAGCCACTTTAAAAAAATTCAATTCAGCGGGGTGCAGTGGGATATACATATAATTCCAGTGGCTTGGGAGGCTGAGGCAGAAGAATTGCAAGTTTAAAGCCAGCCTCAGCAAATTAGTGAGATCCTAAGCAACTCGGTGAGTAACGCTATCTTGAAATAAAATACAAAAAAGGGCTGGGATGTGGCTTGGTAGTTGAGTGCCCCTGGGTCAATCCCCAGTACCAAAAAAAAAAAAAAAATACAGTTCACCATGACTTACCCCATTTTCAGTGCGTTTTTCTCCAGGTACATTTATTACATTTCTCTGAGTTCTTTGCTCTTGGGTCTGACGGCTACCTAAAAGAAATGAAAGAACCAGACTTACTAACATGCATATAAGAAAAAAAACAATATTCTCCAATTTCTCTATTTAAATACTTATTGAACACAAATCTAAAATGCCAAGTTGACAAAGTCAAGACTTAGTTCAGTTGAGCCAGGCACGGTGGTGCATGCCTGTAATCCAGGCCACTCTGGAGGCTGAGGCAGGAGAATCGCAAATTCAAAGCCTGTCTCAGCAACTTAAGGAGCCCCTATCTCAAAATAAAAATAAATAAACAAAAAGCACTAGTGATATAGCTCAGTGGTAAAACAATCTGGGTTCAATGCCCAGTACCCATCCCCCAAAAAAGCACAGCTGAAAAACTGTTCCACATTCATCTTTCATAAAATTGTTTAGCCAGGTACAATGGCGCATGCCTATAATCTCAGCAACTCCGGAGGCCAAGGCAGGAGAATCTTGAGTTCAAGGTAAGCCTCAGCAACTTATTGAGACCCTAATAAACAACTCAGTAAAATCTTGTCTCAAAATAAAAAATAAAAAGGGCTAAGGATGTGGCTCAGTGGTTAAGTCCTCAGTACCAAACAAAAACAACAACAACAAAAACCAACATAAAATTATTAAATGGAATCCTTTCTTTTTACATTCTATCTCAATCTTGAAACTGACTTGTCAAAAGGTTTCTAACACTTAAAATGGCAAAGATGGTAAATTTGGGGTTAAGTATATTTTACCACAGTATAAAATAAATTTTCAAAAAAGGCTTTTATATTTCAGAAAGACACTAAAACAGAATTTATTATCCACTAATGAAAAAATGGATGCAAAAAAACTCACCTACACTTACTGGGTTAAAACTGAGATGGTATACCCTCGCCAATCTGACAATGTCATGAATCTCCCTTTGTTCTGTAAAAATTAAATTTTTTGTTTAAAAAAAGGCATCAATTTAAACTGGAAAAATTCCCTATTTGTTCTGGCATCTTATTGAAAAAGGTAAAGCATAGTGAGGATGCTGCAGTATGTGGCTCTGCAGAGCAGACCCTGGGTCTCTGAGGTGCTGCAGGGCTGCTCCTGCCTGACCACCTGGTTTGCAGTTGGTGCCATAAAGAAGAGTCAAGCCCAGAGCTATTTTAATACCCAAGAACACATGACCTAAGGGTCATGGCCTAATGTTTAAAAATGTTTCCCTTTTATTCCTTGCCTACTTTGAAAAGTGTAAACAAAATTCATATTTTGGATGTATGGTTTCATTAAACCATGTATTCTCAAAATGGTGATGACAGTGCCCCACAGGGCAGAAGCTGGTGCTTAAGGGGTTAAAAAAAACCTCACTCTTTATGTACAAAGCAAAGATATATAGTACATAAATGTATAAACAGTATAGCTAATGGAGGGAGAAGGAAGGACAAGAACCCAACATCCACATATCTAATCATAGAAATGTTCACATGTGGAGAGTCACACAGGAGAACTGGAATCTTGTGGATTCCAAATATTAGAGGATTCCTTATGTTTATCAGATGTTTTTATTTTAAATGACTCCTTAATTTCATATCTCTGAACAAATTATAAAAATGATTAAAAAAAAGAACATAATATCCAAAAAATCTTCCTTGGGGGACAATAATGATAAGCGATTACAAAAGCTATGGTGTTTATCAGTTTACACTTTAAATTTTTATTTTTCTTAGTATTTTTAAGGAACAAGAAATTCAGGGTAATTTAATACTATTCCTCTTCCAAAGAGTAAACTAACAAGAAATTAGAACACTATAAATATACAGCACTAAACTATACCAAGTGCCACTTAATCCTTGATGGTAAAGCAGAAACTTAATATAATCTTACATTTCAGAGTCAGAAAATAATAACAAGCTGACAGCCCTCTATGCACTCACAGTACCTCTCTTAACCTCTGCACAACTCTGTGGGCCCTGTGCACCCTACAGATGAGGAAACTGAGGCACAGGCGTGAGAAATCATCTGTCAAGGTCCCACCAGGAGGCCCAGGTGGAAACCCACGTGCTCTCGATCCTACCTCCATCACACACCTCCTGGCTCTGGTTGGCTGGATAGGTGGCCCTCACTTCACCGCTCTGTGCTTCTGCTTCCCAAGTGTAAAGGGGAGTTGAAGTAAAGTCCTCTACATTCTCCTCTGACTTCTAAACAGAGTCCCCAACCTTCAAGTTAAGAGTTGTCTCTTACTTCTTTTGATTCCTATAGTTCTATGCAACATTCACTTGAGATTTTTCTTAATTAACACCAATCAGAGACAACTGCCTTGCCCTCAGCAGGAAGCACAAGTCTTGAGTCCCAAATGTGGCTTTAGAACATAAGCTGGGGAGACAAGTCATGAGCACAGCAGAGTGGGCCAGGGCAGAGGCAACATGGTGTGTGAGCTGTTCTCCCTGCCAGATGCTCCTCAGCTGAGGGGTGGAACACATCTTGGCACTGGCAGAGGAACAAGGCCTAGGGTGGAGCCTGGCAGGGTCAGGTGGTTGGGACTCTGCGTCAGGGTACACAAGACAATGAATGAGCAAGACAGCCTGACTGGAGGAGAGAGAGGGACAGCGAGGGTGGGTATCTGGGTAGGTCACATTAGAAATGCTAGTGAAGCCGATCTGAAGGGCACTGACAAAGGGACAGGCACTCTACTCAATGTTCCGGGTAGTGCAGTGTGAAGGATAAGTACTGAATTCAGTTTTTCCAGTGCTGACCAAACTCCCGATTTAGCCTGGATGAAGAAGGGGTGCTCCCCACCACCCAAGTCTTGCTTGGCCCCTCAGGGGCCCTCCACATAATCCCTGCCTGGCATGCAACAGCCTTTGCTCTGCCCTCATGCCCCACTCTTCCTCAAGGCCCACATCCTTTTCAATGCTCTGTCTGACTCGATGGCACACGGATCTCAGCACCTCGGGGCCCAGTCCCCACACATATAGGTATGTGTATAATCAAATTAAGTTGTCCAGCAGCAGTTTGAAGATCTTTTTGAGTCTCAAGATTTATCATGACCTGAACTTGAGATGGTGACAAAATACATTGGGTAGGGCCCTTCTCTAGAGTGTACTATCATCTCCACACCTAGACTGAGCAGCAGAGGGAGTGAAAAAATAACCCTTTTCTGGGGCATTAAGGTTTACATACAGAAATTACACATCAATAAAAGTGAGAAATAAAACTTTTTATTTAAGTATAGCTAAGGAAGGGAGGGTACAGATATCTAGAATGCTCAAGTAGAATTAAAATAAACCCTTAGTGCTAGAGCAGCCATTCCACTGTGAGCTAGCAAAGCTTCTCAGGACAACTTTCCCACAGAGGAAGGCCCTTGCCCAGAGCCTTGGGGGCCTGACTCCAGATGACCAGAAGCAGTGGAGGAAAATACAGATGTGACAGTGTTCTGTAAAGTCAGCAGTGCTTACAGCCACAGGGAGATGATTTTAAAGCAGAGATCAGCTAGACCAAGGGGCACAATTTCCTTTTATATAGATATAGAAAAGGCACTTTATACATCCACACACAAACACAAAGCTGTTCTTTTCAAGGTCACAGAAAAGGTAGCACGGGTTTTGCACCATACTCTGGTCCCTGAGCACATCTCCAGGAGGGCCCAAGCCAGGGCACAGGGTTTCTCTGTATGCAGTGCTGCAGAGCATTGCTGTGCCCCAGCACTGCTGAACAGGGCCTGCACCATCAACATGTGCTAGCTAGCAACCGTGCTGAGCCTTGCCACCATGACAGGTAAAACAAGAGCATCTCAGTACAGCTGTCCCTGCATTTTTAAATTAGGAGTATGACATCTTTTCACACATTCTAGGGCAATGTGTATTTCCTTTTCTGTGAACTCTGTGTGTATTTTCCCCATTCTTTTCAGTTTTTTTCTCCCTTGATTCTTGGGATTGAACTCAGCGCCTTATACATGTTAGGCAAGTGCTCTACCACAGAGCCATATTCCCACTCCTTTTTATTTTGAGACAATCACGCTAAATTGCCCAGGCGGGCCTGGAATTTGGGATCATCCTGCCTGAGTCTCCCCAGTAACTGGAGATTTAGGCATGTTATCAATTTTTAGGAACTCTTTTTTTTTTTTAATAAATTTTAGTTGTAGATGGACATAATACCTTTATTTTTTAAAAAAAGTTTATTTGTTTTAATTAGTTATATATAACACTAGAATGCATTTATGCACTTTGATATATCATACATAGATGAAATATAATTTCTCATTTTTCTGAGTGTACATGTAGCAGGATCATATTGGTCATGCAGTCACATATATACACAGAGTAATAATGTCTGTTTCATTCTACTATCTTTCCTATCGCCACATCCTCTCCTTTCCCCTCCCATCACTTCTCTCTACCTAATCTATGAAAACACTATTCCTCCCTAGTGCCCCCCCCCCACTTTATTGTGAATTAGCATCCACATATTAAAGAAAACATTCAGCCTTTGGTTTTGTGGGATTGGCTTATTTCACTTAGCGTGATATTCTCCAACTCCAAACATTTACTGGCAGATGCCATAATTTCACTCTTCTTTAAAGCCAGTAATATTCCATTGAGTATATATACCACATTTTCTTTATCCATTCATCTATTAAGGGACACGTAGGTTGGTTTCATAGTCTAGCTATTGTGAATTGAGCTGCTATAAACACTGATGTGGCTGTGTCACTATAGTATGCTGATTTTAAGTCCTTTGGGTATAAACCAAGGAGTGGGACAGCTAAGTCAAATGGTGGTTCCATTCCCAGTTTTCTGAGGAATCTCCATACTGTTTTCCAGAGTGGTTGCACCAATCTACAGTCCCACCAGCAATGTATGACTGTAATTTTTTCTCCACATCTTTGCCAACATTTATTGTTGCCTGTATTCTTGATGATTACCATTCTAACAAAAGTAAGATGAAATCTTAGAGTAGTTTTGATTTGCATTTCTCTAATTACTAGAGATATTGAACAGTTTTTCATATATTTGTTGATCAATTGACAATACCTTTATTTTATGTATTTATTTTTATGTGGTGCTGAGAATTGAACCCAGTGCCTCACATGTGCTAGGTGACAGCATTACCACTAAGCCACAACCCTAGCCCCCTATTTTTAGGAATTCTTTACAAGGAAAGGAAAGCAGACCTCTGCAATATGAGGTATACATGCTGTTTCCCAGCTCATAAATTGTCTTCTGACTTTGCTCAGGATGGTTATGGTTGGGCAGTCTTTTTTATTTTGTTTTAAATAATTCATTTCTCAGTCTTGTCTTTATGGTTTAATGCTACACTTAGGCTTAGTTCAATCTAAAAATAAAAATTTTCCTCAGAACTTTTTCTACTCATTTCATGGCTTTATTTTTTAAAAAATATTTATTTTTTAGTTTTTAGGTGGACACAATATCTTTATTTTATTTTTATGTGGTGCTGAGAATCGAACCCAGTGCCTCACGCATGCTAGGCGCGCATGCTACCACTTGAGCCACATCCCCAGCCCTCATGGCTTTATTTTAAAATCTAGATATTTTGGCCCATTTGGTACTTATTAAAAATAATTCCATTACACACTACGTCCTTTTATATATTTGAGTGCATTATCTGACCAATTTAGAGTCCTGAGAAGGAAATCGGTTTTAACCTGCAATAACAGAATTTTAAAAAACATGAAATACTAACTCTCCCTCTCACCACCCTTGTAAGTGAAAGGGTCAAAAAAAAAAAGTGTGAATGACTTACTTTAGCATTTATTCCAATTTTTCTGAAATTAACTTATATGGCAAAAGTTAGCAAATGAGGAAGAAAGTATTTATCTACCTTGTTCACTGTTCTCGGCTGGGGAGTCCTCATGTCGAAGAAAAAATTTCACTTCTTCCCTGCGAGGACCCCACTTCTGCAAGTGCTCGTACATCATGTGGTCAAAAGGTATAGGACGCTCTAGGAGAGAGACCACACTTTACTCACTCCAGAAACACCACTCTAGCCAAAAGTAAAAAGAAACTTAAACAGAGGTATACATGTACACACATATACATATATGATAGAATCCAGGACATTCTAAGCACTGAACTTTAATGAGTAACAACAGGAGTGTGAATGGGAAAGTAGTAGTAACATGTATACATAAGAAGGATACATAAAAGTAATTTTGCAACATTAAATAGTGAACAATGAAAACAGGCTTTTCAGCATATTTACTTATCACAAAGCAAGTGTGCCTCCCATTCTTCAAAGAAATGCAACAAATTGCCTTCACCATGGTATTCATTAAAATGTTACACAGGGCAGTTATACAAAGGCTGACCAGGGCATTTCCTGGCAACATTATTGTGAATGTTTGCCAGTACTTGTAGAGTCTAAAATTTACCAAGTTAATAATAAAAATCAAATTCTACAGAACTTCAAAGTATTTCAAACATTTCTTTTAAAAAAGGAAGGCTCATACCCAGTGTGGTAGCACATGCCTGTAATTCCAGCTACACAGCAGGCTGAGGCAGGAGGCTCTCAATCTTGAGGCTAGTCTCAGCAACTTAGCAAGACTCTGTCTCAAGATAAAATTTAAAAGGGCCTGGGGTTGTAGCTCAGTTTTTCCCTAGGATGTGTGAGGCCCTGGTTTCTGGGTTCAATTCCCAATACTGTTCACAGAATCACTCTCTGTATCAAGGACTCAAGAAGAGCACACACATAGCTGTTAAATTTATAGCACCATTTGCATGTTTACAATGCACTCCACTGTTCTCTGTGAACTGTCTCAGGTACTCTGAGTCAGTTAAAAAAAAAAAATCTGGGTGGTCTGACTCTTAGCCATTTGAAGTACTTCTTTATGCTCTGGAAACTAATCCTGGGCTTGTTATACATATTGACAATAAACTTTCATTTTGATTTTTGTTGAGATTTTTATGTGTATGTGTGTGTGTGTGTGTGTGTGTGTGTGTGTGTGTGTGTGTATGTATACCAAGGATTGAACTCAGGGATTGAACTCACTGAGCAACATCCCCAACCTTATTTTCTTTCTTTCTTTTTTTTTTTTAAGAGAAAGCATCTCACTGAGTTGCTTAGTGCCTCACTTTTACTGAGGCTGGCTTTGAACTCATGATCCTCCTGCCTTAGCCCCATGAGACACTGGGATTGTAGGTGTGCGTCACTACACCTGGCCCTTTCTTTCTTTTATTTTCTTTTAGCAGTGCTGGGATTAAACCCATGCTCTCTCTTATTTTGGACTTCCCAGCCTCCAGAATTTTGAGCAAAAAATTTGCTGTTTATAAATTACCCAGTCTCAGGTATTTTGCTATAGCAGCCTAAAAGGACTAAGATACAATCAAAATACCCAGTAACTTATGAATGGATAAACAAAGTACAACAAACAATGGAATACGATTCAGCCATAAAAAGAATGAAGTACTGATATATGCTACCACATGGATGAACCTTGAAAAACTTGCTAGGTTAAAGAAGCCAGACCAAAAAGGCCACATATTATATGATTCCACTTATATTCAGTACCCGGAATGGTCAAACACATACTGTTAGTACAGGACAGTGTTGCCAGAGAGTGGGGGAGGAGGATGTGGAGGCACAGAGTTTGATGATGTTTGTACAACATAGTGACTGCACTGAAAACTGCTAAATTATATATGTTCACACAGTCATGTTAGCATATGTGACTTTTATCTTAAAGATATAAAAGGAATTCAAGGCACATCACCACTTCTGCTTATGCTTAAAAGTGAGGAAGCACTTTAAAGCTCAGCAGCCCTGAGGCTTAGGAAACCACCTGGGAGAGCTTAAGCACAAAGGACAGTGCTTCCTTCCTTTCAACACAAGTGTGTGGTTGAGCAAGAGACCCTTCCTCTAAATCTTTGGGTCATTCTGAGAACTTCATGTGTAGAGAAGAGAAAAAACTTATCAGCTGCAATCTACTCACACATTCAAGGTGTGACTTCCTGCTCTACTCCTAGGTCCAGTCTAATTCCCATAAGGAAAGCCGTGCCATTTGCAGACATGCAACACGCACTGTGAATATGGCTGCTGCTGTGGTCTTACAAATGCAGGCAGGCTGTGTCGCTAAAGCAACAGTCTGGCTGAACCCATGTGTGCTAAGCTCAAGTTCAACTCAGAATTGAGTATTTATACAGAAAACAAAAATAAAAACAAAACAAGCATGGGTTGAAATATTCAGGAGGTGAATTTCATTCTATATATTTTTAGTTTCAAAAGTAATACAATTCATATATATAGGCCTATAAAATGATTTTTAAAATACATGTGTATTTACCTTTTTCAACAGCATGGCCTGTATTTAATCTAACCATGTCCCTTAGTTTAGCATAAAATTGTGTCTGAGGCCATATTTTTATTCTTATTGCTTTGAATTATGGTTTTAGGTTTATTTTTGGTTGCTTTACTAATTGACATTATCAATAGGGGCTGGGGAATATAGCTCAGTTCGTAGAGTGTTTTCCCCGCATACACAAGTTCCTGGGTTCAATCCCCAACACCACACACACACACACACACACACACACACAAACACACACAAAATCTATATACAAGTTTTATTTAAATCTTCCAAGTTGAACATAACTCAATAAAAATTAAATTCCATTTTGTCTTAACCCAGTTATTTAAGAGAAATTTATTGGTCTCACTTTATGAATTTATAAAATTTTTAGAAGGAAAGATTAATTTCAAGAAAAGTAAGCTAAGCTTCACTATTTTTTAAATTATAAGAATGGTAGAACACTTGCCTAGCCCGTGTGAGGCACCAGGTTTGATCCTCAGCACTATATAAAAATAAATAAATAAAATAAAGGTATTGTGCCCATCTACAGCTAAACATATTTTTAAAACATGGTTGTCTAAGGGCTGGGATTGTGGCTCAGCGGTAGAGCGCTCGCCTAGCAAGGGCGGGACCCAGGTTTGATTCTCAGCACCACATAAAAATAAAGGCATTGTGTTGTGTCCATCTACACCTAAAATATAAATATTAAAAAAAAAAGGTTGTCTAATTAATTAACATTATTTTCATTTTAAAGTGAAAAAATCTACCTTATACATATTATAATATATAAAATATTCTTCATTAACATCTTATAAAGTGGGAATCTATGATAAAATTTTTAGACATTCTTGTATAAGGTGAAAAAAAATCAAGGAGGAAATGTAACAAATGAGAAGACAAAAGGTTCTATCACATCACAGATCTGCATTGGGGTTGACACCTGTGTAGGGCAGGGAACCACAGAAAGAGTAGGATGATAAACTGGCCAAATTAACACTGTTACAGGCTAAGCTGTATCCCTCCTAAATCCAGATGTTGAGGTCCTACCCTCCAGTACCTCAGAATGTGACTGCATTTACTGATAAGGTCTTTATAAGAGGTAATAAGTTAAATAAGGTCATTTGGGTGAACCCTAATCCAATCTAACCCAACATCACCAGTGTCCTTTAGAGATGAAAAGAAACCACTTGAGGACACAGGGAGGAGGAGACACACCTACAAGTCAAGGAGAAAAGCCTCAGAAGAAACTAAGCCTGCTAAAACCTTGATTTCAGACTCCTAGCCTCTGAAATTGTAAAAAAAAAAAAAAAAAAAAAAAAAAAAAAAATTGTTGTGTAAGCTATGCAGCCTATGGTACTTTGATATGGCAGCCTTAGTAAACAAACACAAGATTTACAGAGAAATGGTCTCTACTCAAAAGCAGTGATGGGCTAGACATGGGGTGCATTACTATAATCCCAGTGGTTTAGGAAACTAGACAAGAGGATCACAAGTTCAATGCCAGCCTTGGCAACTTAGTGAGCTCCTGTCTCAAAATAAAACAAATAAAAAGGACTGGGAATATGGCTCAGTAGTAAAGTACCCCTGGATTCAATTCCCAATACTCAAGAAAACCACCGATGGGGACTGGGGTTGGGGCTCAGTGGTAGAGCACTTGCCTAGCATGCAGGGGGCCCTGAGTTCAATCCTCAGCACCACATAAGAATAAATAAACAAAATAAAGGTATTTGTCCATCTACAACTAAAAAACAAATATTAAAAAAACAAAAACAAAAACACCACCAATGGGCTGGGGATATAGCTCAGTGGTAGAGGACTTGCCTAGCATGCATGAGGTCCAGGGTTCAACACCCAGCACCAAAAAACAGACAAGTACACAGGTGCACTGTTTCTCACTACGTGATACCCTGCACTGCCTCAGGTCTCTCCATCAAGTTACAGTCCCTCGATCTTGGACCTCCAGAATCATGAGCCAAGACAAAGCTCTTTAAAAAAAAAAAAAATACTGGACTACTATATCTATGACATATTGATCATATGAAGCCTGAAAATTACTTTTAGGATTCCTCCAAGTTAAAATTGAGAAAGGCTGGTAGAGCTTTCCCCTCCCTTTGAATTGTACTTATTAGAAAATCTTTTTCTTCCTCATTTCACTCAATGACTCAAGTATTTCCTAATGCCTATTATGAGCACTAGGCTGGGCACTGGGGATATGATGGTGAACAGAGAAGTTCCTGCCTTCAAAAATTTTAGTTCAACAAAAGATGAGGTTTAATTTATAAATAATTGTTTAATAAATACCATGACAGTATTGGAGCACAGGGGAGAGATAACTAACATCCTCTGAAAGTCAAAGAAGAGATGAGAAGCAAAGAATGAATAGAAGTTAGTCAAGCTCCTAGGAAATGTTATATACAATGTAAAGAGCATAGCCAATAGATGTGCAGTGACCCTTGGTACTTCAGATAGCAGTCCTTATCCCTGCTGCAGTAAAACCAAGGGTTTGAGATAGGCTTGGAGATAAGAATGGCACCAATCAAAGAGTTTGCATCAGGGAGATGAGCATTCCTGGGTAGCCATGGACCACTGGAGGCTATGGTACCTTTGCAAAATTTTACTTCTTTTCAAGCTAAGTAAGAGAGAAGAGGGAGACAGATAAAAAGAATCAGAAGTGACAGAGTGCTAAGAGTCCAGAGGATGGAATAATCAGGTTCTAACACTGGTCTCCTAGAAAACACTAATTCTACTTACTATCTCCCTTCCTGTGGCTATCATCAGGTTGACAATTGAGGACCTGTCCTCTTCCTTATATAATGGACATTTATCCTAATAGTTAAGTAAGAATCCAATGTTTACTAAAGTCAAGTTTCACTCAATCTAACCTTGAAGATTTTACTCTGACTTCTAAGGATAACATTAAAAGCATAGGACTTTGGGAGAAAATAGTTCCATGTCATATTCCTTATAAGGGACGGGTATCTAGTATATATAAAGAGCTCATACAATTTAATAACAAAAAACCAAATACCCTACCTGTAATCCCAGCTACTTGGGAGGCTAGGTCAGGAGGATCCAAGTTCCAGGCCAGCCTTGGCAACTTAGCAAGAATCTATCTCGAAATTAAAACTAAAAAGGGTTGGGGATATAACACAGTGATAGAGCATCCCTGGGTTCAATACCCATTACCACAAATAGTAAGTAAGCATGTAAATAAGTAAGAAAAAAGAAAAGAAAAAAGGATAAATACCCCAACTTAAAAAGAGACAAAAGTTTCCAGGTGTGATGCGCAGCTACTTGGAATACTGAGGCCAGAGAACAGCAAATAAGGGGCCAGCTTAGTGAGACCCTGTCTCAAAATAATAAAAAATTAAAAGGTTGGGCTGGGGCTGTGACTCAGTGGTACAGCACTTGCCTCACATGTATGAGGCACTGGGTTAGATACTCAGCACCACATAAAAATAATAAAGGCATTGTGTCTATCTACACACACACACACACACACCCTAGCACGCCCGCACACACGCATGCAAAAGGTATGAATAGACATTTATCCAGAGAAGATGTGGAATGACCAATACAACATGAAAGATGTTCAACATCATTCATCATTAAGGAAATGCAAACCAAAACCACAAGGATACTTCTTTTTTTTAAATTTTCTTTTTAAAAAAATATTTATTTATTTTTTAGGTGTAGATGGACACAACACAATGCCTTTATTTTTATGTGGTGCTGAGGATCGAACCCGGGTCCCACCTGTGCGAGGTGAGCACTCTACCGCTGAGCCACAATCTCAACCCATGATACCACTTCTTATCCAGTCAGATGGCTGAAATCTAACAGACAATATGAAGTGTTGACAAAAATGTGGAAAAATTAGAATCCTCATACACTGATGCTGGAATAAAATAGTACAGTTGCTTCGGAAAACAGTTTGTCAGTCCCTGAAAAGGTTAAACACTGAATTACCGTAAGCCCTAGCAAGGTGACTTAGGCCTAGGTATGTAACTAAGAAATGTGATAAAATATCCACACAAAAACTTGCGTTTTGTCACAGAGCAGCCAGGCATGGTGACGCATGTCTGTAATCCCAGAGGCTGAGACATTAGGATCGTGAGTTCTAAGTCAAGCAACTCAGTGAGACCCTATCTCTAAATAAAATATAAAATATGGCTGAGGATGTGGATAAGTGGTTGAATGCCCCTGAATATTCAATTCCCAGTACCAAAAAAAAAAAAAGTTCACAGAGCATCATTCATAGAACACACCCCTGAAAAGGAAATAACTCCAATGTCTATCAACCGAATAAGTAACTCCCCATCCAATTGATAAGGAAAATGTAATATATCCATACAGTGGAACATTCAGCCACAAGAAGTAATGAATTACTGATATGTGCTTCAACATGAATGAACCTCAAAAACACTAAGCTGAGTAAATAGCCAATCTAAAAAGGATTGTATTATATGATTCTTTTTGTATGAAAGGTCTAGAATAGGCAAATCTACAGAAAGTACATTAGTGTTTACCGACAGATGAGGGGGTCAAAAGGAAAGGGAGTCAGTCACTGCTAATGGGTAAGGAGTTTCTTTTTTTCTTTTGGTGGCAAGGATAATAATCTAGAAATAACTGTGATGATTGTTGCACACTCTGTAAATATAATAAAACCTCTGAACTGTATGCTTTAAATGGGTGAACTGTATGGTAGGTGAATTACATCTCAAAAAGGCTGTTGAAAAAAATGCTAAGACTTGATTATCTCTAAGTGTCTTTTAGACACTTTCATTTTTTTACATCTCTCATCACCTCAAACTCAGCATGTTCCAGTTGATCATTCTCTCACTGTCTAACACAGACCCATGTGCATGGTACTTTTTTCAGGCTCATTGTTTATTGACCAACATTATTTTTAGAATGTCATTCCTTAATTAAAATCCATACGAATTCCTTCTGCTGAGAAAAAGCCACACCACTCTGCAGTGCTGAAGGTCTGGTATAACGAGCTGCTCCAGCCTCTGCCTGCTGCCAACCTTCCTGGTCTTAGCTGTCTTGGCAGCACACCATATTCTGTTCCCGTCTTTTCTTCATTTGCATTACTTCCGCTATCTGGGATAGACTATCCTATCCAAATTCAACCCCTTCTTTACAGTGCAAACTATTTTGCAGAATTTCTGGTGCTTGCTAATCATATTACCTACATGGATCTTCTCTGCCCTGCTTGTTGACAATTTCTTTCAACATGAATCAGGATTTTACCTTTCTCAATTTAGTAATATTTAGGGAAGACACACCATTTACAAAGTTCCTCAAGTGAGGGAACACAAGGCTAGTGCCTCCATGACATTATCAGAAGAGAAAAGAAGAGTCACTGACCAACCTGACATGTGTTATGACAATGAAGGCTCAAGAGGACCAGGGTCTTCTCATTTGGTTGATGGGGAAAGGAAAAGACATCTTACAAAAAGCTAGATCTACCCTCCCTGCTTATCTTAAATGGTTATGGTAAGAGTCAAATCACACCTTGCTTTTTAACAAATACCATTTTATAAAACCCTACCCTCATGTAATATAACTGTTTTTATATTAATTACTCAACTCCTTATCACCTCATACAACTAAGTGACAACATTCTCATTCTTATAAAACATAATACATACCATTTCCCCTCCACACTTCAGCTAAATGACAACTGCCTTCTCCAGGCTCCTTGCAAAATTCTACAACATCTCGACAGGTTGTTTCTGGTGTTACAGGAACTTCTGTTAAAATCTGTTCATTGTTGCTCAAGAACACGGTTAATATCATCTGTAAGAGAAGAGATCAAAACTCCAATTTAGCTTACTTGTTATGAAGAGATTAAGTAAATTTAAAATGATCCCTCTAACACCTCCCTTACCAAATGCTTGCAGGATTACTTTCTGGAAATAGATAAATTGACTTTAAAGTTCATGTAAAAAATTTAAGAAAGTAAGATAAATCAGGAAAATGCCAAAAAAGAATAACATTAGCAAAGAACTAGTATTGCCAGGTGTTATACAGCCTCGAAGCCATATCACAGTAGCACACAAATAGATCAATGGGACAAACTGATGTCCCACAGACACAATTCCATACGGAAAAAAATGACAAAAGACGAAGGAGGTGCCTCAAAATCAAGGGGAAAAGATGATACAATGAATGATGGATGTTTGAACAACTAAAATATCCACATGGAAAAAAAATAAATTCATACTATACTTCATACACTAACATAAGTTCCTGCTTGCTCAAGTACTTAGATATAATCACAAAACCATAAATATTCCATAATGAAACCGAGGTAAATCCCTTTTTGTAACTTCAGAGTATAGACACTCTTCCTAGCCAGGTGCAGTGATACATGCCTGTAATCTGAGCCACTTAAGCTGAGGCAGAAGGATCTCAAATTTAATGTCAGGCTCAGCAACTCAGACACTGCCTCAAAATAAACACTTTTTTAGAAAGAGCCGAGAGTGTAGTTCAGTGGTAGAGTGAGTGCCCCCGGGTTCAATCCCTAATATAGGGGGGAAAAGAAACCCTTTTAACTATAACTTAAAGTCCAATACCACAGATGAAGATTGATATATTCAAAATATTAAATATAAGAGTCTGATAAAGAGATAAACTAGGGAAGAAAATATTGTAAATAAGTGGCTCATATTACAAATAAGTGGCTAATCTCAATAAATAAAGAGCTCCTAAAAATTGATAAAAAGACTAAAAATCCAATCCATTAAAAAACTTTTCAAAGATATAAATTAATACAGTAAAGGAAAAATAAATGGTCTCAAACATAAAAATACATTACAATGCATTTTAAAAAATTAACAAATAAAAATTGCCAGGTCAATTTTATAAAAATCTCAAAATTCTACTACTTTGATCTAACACCTCAAGATATCATATTAGAAGGCATTTTTTAAAAACAATATCCCAGATGTTCAATTTAACCCAAAATTTTCTTTAAAAGAAAATCAGAAAGTATTGCAGAGTATTTGTATTTATTCTTTGACCAAAGATCAGGTGTCCCAAAACTCCCCTCCCTTAAAATATGTTAACTAAATGTAATTTCAGTTCATTGTTAAATTTTCTTAGAAATGCTCCAATGTTTTTGGAGCATTTTGAGATTAAACATGTGCATATCAATGGTGGGATTTTATGTAACAGTTCTAAGCTGGTTTCCTTGACACCGGTTTCTGGGACTCCAGCCCATCCTCCACCACCAAAGGGCCACTTTTTTTTTACTTTGGTTTTTATTAATTGTTCATTTTAGTTATACATGATAGTATAATGTTTTTTGACATATCATACATCCATGGAGTATAACTACCCATTCTTGTGGTTGTACATGTTGTGGTGTTACAATGGTTGTGTATTCGTATAAGGACATAGGAAGGTTATGTCCAATTCATTCTACTATCTATTCTATTCCCCTCCCCACTCCCTTCCCTTCATTCCCCGGTCCAATTCAGTGAACCTTCACTCCTTGTTCCCAGATGCTCCATGCCTATTGTGAGTCCACATCCACATATCAGAGAGAACATTTTGGCCTTTGGTTTTTGGAGATTGGCTTATTTCACTTAGCACGTTAGTCTCCAGTTCCATCCATTTTTCCAGCAAATGCAATAATTTTGTTCTTCTTTTAGCTGAGTAATATTCCATTGTGTATATGTGCCACATTTTCTTCATTCATTCATCTGTTGAAGTGTGCCTAGGTTGCTTGCATAGCTTAGCTACTGTGAACTGAGCTGCTATAAACATTAATGTGGCTGCATCAAAGGGTCATTTTCTAAATGCAAAAATCAGCAATGTTATTCACTTGCTTAAAACACTCAGGTCTTCTGTTCCCAAAACATTTGGTATATAAACAGGAAATGGTATATAAACAGGAAACAGGTTTTTTTTTCTTCTTGAGTCTAATGTGATATTTGTGTGAATCTCTAACTTCCCCTCAGAGAATCCCATGGAGCTCAAGATATCCACCCTGAGAAAACCCAGAGGATAGGACAAACTGCAGAGTCCTAGCCTTCCAGGTCTTACTCCTCTCAACATGGAACTTCACTCTTAGCTCCAAAGGAGTGAGTCACGTTTCGCTGGTCATGGTCCCTCTACCCATTTCCCTTTTGCTGTAAACTCCTATTCACTCTTCAAAACTCAGCTCACAGCAACCAACTGCAAAACTTCATGTACCTCCTCTTCTCTCCAGGGAAGCCACAAGCTCCTTACTCTGTGATCTGTAACTCTTCCCAATCATTCTTATATCACTTCAGTGAGCATTATCATGTCTCCCTTCCCTCTCTAGACCACGCCTTCCTGGCAATTTGCTGTCTCATCTTTAGTTTCCTGTTGCTTAGTCAGTACCTGACACATGATACGCACACTAAAATCTAGTTAATTTCATGAATGACACAAAAGTCAGAACCCCACCATGTCTGAGAAATTCGTATACACTAGCAGAGCATGATGTACCCAGTCTACTCAATAAACCTGCATTATCCATCCTCCTTAAATACGTTTTCTTTCTGTGTGCTGGGGCTCTCTACCTTAATGAACTAAAGAATCTTCAATACAAATGTCGTACTGTGCAAATTCTAGAAGCATCCTTTGTTCATATTTAAACATCTTTGAAATCACAATGTATTTCACAATTGATGGCATGTCACAATTTAATGGGTAAATGTAACTTTTTCTTTAATAATATGAACAGAACAGAGAAGAAACACAATAGGATTAGGAAACTGAGGAAAACAATTAAAGGAAAAAAGAAGTTAATATGTTATCCTTCCTAAAAGATTAATATGTTATAAATAGAGATTTGGTTAGCTACAGCAGGAAAGCAGAGCTGAGCGACCACGTTGTAAGGAACACAGCATGCTGACGGGGTGTTCTTTACTCTTTTTGGAAACCATTCCTCTGCCCACATCACATGAACACACCTGTTCATGACCACCACTGTCCACCCACCTGACCCAGCCTGGGAAGGAGCCTCCTCTGTGGTACAGCACTATTACATTACATAACCAGCACTTTTCTTGACTACATCCTCTACTCAGTGTTTTGAGACTCCCAAGAATGAGTTGTGACCCATTACCTCATGTTGAAATCACCTAAGTGTGTCTCATCCTGTGTACTGCCCCCTACCCCTGTTTTTTTTTTTTTTTTTAATTGAAAAAAAAGCTTGAAAAACTCAGAACTAGATCCTAAGCCTACAGAGGACAGGCCTTCTGTTCTCTAACTTGGCACCTGAGTAGAACACTGGACACACAGAGGTTCTCAGAAATGAAGGACAGGAGCCTGTTGTCAACCCTAACTTCAAAACATACCCAGAATCTGCCACATGTACCCACTGCTGCCACCCTAGCTCAAGCCTCTACCACCTCTCAGACAGGATGTGTGCAAGAGTTTCTGTTTTGATGCTTGCCTTTTAGATATATCACTTCCTTGAAAACCTTCCTGTGGTTTGCTCTCGTCTGAGAAAATTCCCCCTAAGTGCTGTCTACAAGGCTCGCATGACCTGCAACACATACATTCACACTTCTAGGACACCTCCAGTTGCCACTCTTCATTTCCAGCCACCTAACCTTTTCGCACCTCCTCCAACAGAGCAAGCCAATGCCCACTTCAGGGCCTGTGCACCCGCTGTTCTGTTGGATAGCTGCTCACATGCCTGGATTACCTCTTCCTTCAACACCTGGTCAAGGAAGTGTTCCCTAACAATCCATCTAAAATGGCAGTGTTCCACCTCTCACTCCTTTTAGCCTCCACACTCACCACCATATACTCATCTGCTTATCCCTGTCTCCTGCCACTAGAGCATAATCTCCCCAAGATCAGAAATTCTAGTTAATCCACCACTGTATCATTAATGCCAAGCACATAGTGTGCACTCAATCAACTCCCCTAATTATATACAAAATACCTTTTCATATTATGTTTTTTGAATTATGAAACATAGAGGCTTGTCTGCCTTTTCATGCACAAAAACTAGTCAATATTTTACCCCTTTGATTACTTAGTCCACATCAGAGAGAAAGAAAAATCCTGAAAAAAAAAAAAAAAAAAAACTGTCAGTGTGAAAGTCAGGTGCCCTGAACAAATCAAGGACATGATATTCAGCAGATTTCACTCATACCTAGATATTCTTTCCCAAAGCCTTTCCTCTTTCCACAAGGTGGCACTGCAGGGTAACGGGGTGGGGTGCGATTCCTACCTGCTACAAACTCTGAAGACCCTAAACCCTAAAATATAACCCTAACCTTCACACTATATCTCATACTTCATACCGTAACCCCTCACATATAACCTCACCATAATCCTTTACCCTAATCCATAATCCTAACCCTTACTGTATATCCTAACCATATACCCTTATAAATCTTAATTATTCCATCCCCATTGCTACCCATCTCATCCTGCCCCTCACTCCTCCCCAAGCCTGATCCAAACCATGTGCCCCTAAACACATACACACACACACACACACACACCCCTACCCCACCCTCTCTCTCTCTCAGAGGTAGGATCAAATTAAATACAAATTCCAATCTGGAATTCTTTTTTGGAAAAAAAGCAGAACTGACCTTAGGAAAGTGATGAAAAAAAATTTTTAAATAGTACCTATTTTTTAAATGTATCTTTTTATTTATTAATCCCAGCCCCTAAATTTGTTTTTTAGTTATAGGTGGACACAGTATATTTATTTTATTTTTAATGTGGTGCTGAGGATTGAACCCAGTGCCTCATGCATGCTAGGCAAGCGCTCTACCTCTGAGCCATAACCTTAGCCC